ATAAATAAAATAGTAAAGTAAAAAGTAAAGTAGAGGCTGGGTGTGGTGGCTCACCCCTGTAATCCTAGCACTCTGGGAGGCTGAGGCAGGTGGATTGCTTGAGTTCAGGAGTTCAAGACCAGCCTGAGCAAGAGCGAGATTCCATCTCTAAAAATAGCCAGGCACGGTGGCAGGCACCTATAATCCCAGCTACTTCGGAGGCTAAGGCAAGAGGATTGCCTGAGCCCAAGAGTTTGAGGTTGCTGTGAGCTATGACGCCATAGCACTCTACCCAGGGTGACAAAGTGAGACTCTGTCTCCAAAAAAAAAAAAAAGTAAAATAAAAAATTTAAAACCCATGATCGGAATAGAATCACAGGTAGACTAATAGCCATTCATTTAGCCAAATCGATAATCCAAAGATTTCAAAAAACACAACTTTTTGATGGCGAGTAGACTCAGTTTTCCAATGAGAGGACCCAACAAAGACAGCTTGAGGCAAACTTTCCCCTTCCTCTATTACAGTTTACCCAAAAGGTAAACAAGTCTTTTATTATCTCTCCCTGATTTGACATCATACTCTTGTTCCCAGGAGAAAACCAAGTTTTCTTTTTATATTAGTGTGTTATCAAGACAAAAGCTAATTTTAATAAAACTGTATAAACAGACCCGTCTAATATCAGTCAGCTTTTACAACCCAAGATAAGATTTCCATAAACCCTGTATAAACGCTTCCAACCTTCCATGAAAGAGCAGATCAATGTTTCAAGAAAATCCTGTTGTTTCCACGGAGGGCTCAGACTCTGGCCTTGCTTCAGTGTCCTTTTTTTTTTAATTATTGTTTTTTCAGGTTATTGAGGGGACCATGAATTAGGTTACACTGTTTGCATGTGTTAAGTAAAGCCCCTCTTATAACTGTGCCCTGTCTCCAAGAGGGGTGCCATGCCTGACATTGTGCCCAGTAAGTTGGAGCACACCCATCCTCCTCCCCTTTCCCTACTCCCTCGTTTCCCCGGCCCCCACCTTGAATTAATTTGAGTTTTCCTCTTACGTGGGAATTGAGGACGTTGGATTCTTGCTTTTTCATTCTTGTGATACTAAGACGACTTTGGTCCAGCTCTATCCAGGTTAAGACAAAAGATGTAAAGATTCCATCTTTTTTAATGGCTGAATAGTAGGATTCCATGGTGTACATATACCACAGCTTATTAATCCGTTCCTGGATTGGTGGGCATTTAGGTTGTTTCCTCATTTCAGCAATTGTAAATTGAGCATCAGTGTCCTTTTGATACTAATGTTCAGTTTCTAGGAAAAACTTATGCATGCGATAGAATCTCCATGGTTGGCCACTTCCCTAACTGACCACCTCCTTAAGTTGACCTAATTTTCATAGATTGGACTGCATGTGTGCGGACCACATGCACAGATCAGTGCAGGAGGCCTAGTTCCCTATGTTGACCACCTCTCTATGTGGACCAGTTTGTTACGCTCCTTTGGTGGTCAGTTCAATTTATAGAGACTCTACTGTTATCCCTTCTAATTTTAGCCAACTTGATTGCACCCCAAATTCCTTTCACGAGATGAATCTTCTGCCAATCTTCAACTTGTTGAAACCTTCAGTTTTTCCCTATATTTCCTTTTTTTATAATGGCATTCTGCCTGTGAATAAGAAATCTCTTATCATTTTGACCATACAAATTTCTCTGTCGTACAAAGGAAAATAATTACTGTTTTTAACTTTCTTTTTACATCCTTTATACATTCCCTACGTAGAATTTTTAGTCGTTTTAATTACATGCATTGCCTATAATTTTAAGTCTTAGTAACCCTAATTTCCAGTGAGAAGCCCGGGGAGTAATTTTGAACTGTTCAATGCCAGTATGGGTGAAAACCATCTTATAATTTTTAGAAAGATGTTTCCTTAATTTTCTTGGTTTATAAACAGATCCAATCATATGTAGCTTTCCTATACCATATAAATGACGCAGACATTTATAATCTATTATTTAATGTAACACAACATGACTTTTTTACTGAAAAATCTTCTTTTCAATTTTGAAACATTCATTTGTAAACTTTCAATCCATTTACATTCATTTTAATTGAGTCATCCTTAACAATCACGGTTAACTAGTTCCGTGAACAAAGTTAGCCATCATCTCATGATATTTCTCTGTGAATCATTTCCATAGATTGGGAGCGTTAGGCAGGTGTCACCTACGCAAGACCCCTAAAGTTACGTGAGTATTTTGCTGGTCAGAAGGCTCAGGGGGTTTACCCAAGCCATGTGAGCTAAAAGCCATTTGAGTTAGTTTCTGTGTTTCTGATAAAATCTTTAAGTGCTTACTTTTTCTGTATTAGACCTTTTTCTTGTATTTTGGTAGCGAAGTATCACACACGTGACGCAGGTGTATAGACGTACAACACACAGCAGCAGATTTTATAGCTTTAGAAGGTTCTTCATTTGCCAGTTTTCAAATGGTCCCCGCCCCAACAATTACTAGCTCTCAGCCCTGCACGTGCACTTCCAAAGCCCTCCCCCTTCCTAAGGGACTGTTGACACTTGCGGCTGCCACTCTGTTCTTCCCACAGCAGTAAAGTGGAAGGAGGGAGGGTGGATTTTAGTTGATTGAGGACAATCTCCATAGTAACCCATGAGACGAGAGTCACTGTTTGTTACAGGGAAACCTGCTCAGGGTCACCTGGCTAATGGGAGGAAGAGTCTATCTGAGTTGGGTGGGGACGGGGGAGGGGGTGGTAGCGGAGGGTGGGGACATGACTGGGACAGTCCCATGTGCTCTCTTGGCCTGTCAGGATCTCGGATGGGCCAGCCTCTCTCTCTGCTCTTCCCTCTGCCTGGGTTGCTCTGCCCTTTGCCACACTAGCCTCCTTTAGGTCTCGGTCAGAGGTCACCACCCCTGAGAGGCCCTCCCTGATTGCCCTTCCCCTCATTCAGTCATCTTTATGGTCACCCTGTGTCATCATTGTGCTTATTTCCTGGCCGTAGTGGCACTGGAGGTCAGCCGTGTGCGGCCCGAGCCCTCACTGTGTCTTGGTCCGTGCTGCATCTCCAGGGTCTGGGAAGGCACCCGAGGTGCCTCAGTCACCCTGGTAGAGTGAGCAAAGGGCCTGCCTGCCTGGCCCCTGGTTTGGGGTCCTTCCTCCAGGCCTCTCAGACTGGGTCTTTGAGCCACCGGACTCCTGTAGTTCCCCGACATGCCCAGCCAGGCCCATCTGTTCTCCTGTGGGGCACAAACAGGCTCGCAGAACACTAGCCTCAGACTACATCGATCTTGAGACCATGATAAAATGAGACACAGTGTGCCCTGTTCATAGTTTTGTCTGCACAGACTAAAAGAAAGTCACTGTGTCACCCACGAAGTACCAGACCTCTTCTCTGTCTGAACGAGGGACTGCTACTTTTTGCTCAGTTGCCCCTAGTGTCTAACAGCATCTGAATCAGAGCAAACTCCAACTCTCTCAATCCCTCCCCAAGTCACCTGACTAAAGCCCAGATCTGGTGATAGGTGTTTCCCTGAGACGCCCATGGTTCCGGGTGATCTGTGTTCCCCCTCGCTGCAGTGACCTGTGAGCTGACCTGTCCAGTTCCAGCTGTGTCCAGTTCTAGTGTCTGACTGGGGCTGTAGATGCCAGAGGGAGAAGACAGCTGGGTTATGCTAGACTCAAAGACAGATGTCTGCTAATCTTGATCTCGATCTAGTCATTTTCCCTTTAGGACCCAGATGACCAATTTGTCTAAAGATGACCTATTTGTCTAAACTCACCTATGTCATGGTGGGTGGGAGGATGTGCCCTGTGGGTATTAGGTAGCCTTTGTCATCATTTTTGCCTCATTATTACAGAGGGGAAACTGAGGCCCAGAGGGGAAGTTCCACAGCTGGGAGGTGGCAGAACTGGGGGATCTGATCCACCTGTCCTACCACCTCGAGGACCTCAAATATGGTACAGGGTGGTGGTCACGAGTCAATGAGGCTACAGGATTCAAGCAAGGATTCTTGAAACTCAGTACCCTGGAGTCAGGCACTGAACCCCCAGAACAGCCCTCCCTGCTGCTGTGAACTGAGCTCAGGGCAGCCTTCCAAGTTCACGATCCACTCCTTGAATGTTCTTGCCCACCCAGAGCTCTCAGCTCCTCGTGCCAAGGGAACCTTAGCTGGTTCACATTCTGAAGAGACTCAGCTCTGGAATGTGCTGCCTTTTCTGCTCAGGGAAAGGAGGAGCTTGGGGCTGTTTGGGGTAAAGACTGCCCTGTGGGGGAAATGAAGGGAGGGGTGCCCTCCGCATGTGTGAAATACTCAAACACGGGTTTGTATCTGTGCGTGTTAACTCCACACAGGCGTGTGAGTTTGGTGTGATTATTCTCACTTCACAGATGTATGAATGGGCTCAGAGGAGGCACCTCACAGGCCCAGGGACGTGCAGTGGCACGCCTGGGACTTGAACCTTGGGTTTTGGACCCAAGGTCAGTTTTTGCATTCAGCTCTATAGTTGTTGTTTTAGATTTTTTTTTTTAAACTTTCACATTAAGATGAGGGTATGAATAATTAGGTTACAATGTTTGCATTTGTTAGGAAGAGTCCTTGTAGTTATGTCCCCGCACCCAGAAGGCGTGCCATGGACCCTTCCATTGTGCCCATTAGGTGGGAGCACACCAACCCCCCTCCCTCCCTCCCCCACTTGAATTAAATTGAGTTTTCTCTTATGTGGGTGTGTATTAGATCATCTACTAGCTTCATATTAGATTAGAGTACTTTGGATTCTTGCTTCTCCATTCTTGTGATACTTTACTAAGAAGAATGTATGTCAACTCCAGCCAGGTTAAACAAAAGATGTAAAGTCTCCATCTCTTTTATGGCTGAGTGGTATTCCACTCAGTATACACTTTCTATAGTTGCTTTGGATTTTAGGCTCTGAGACCCTGTTGGAGACGGAGGGGCCGGGGTCCCGAGGTGGCGGCTATTGCTGACCCGTCTGCCTCTGTCCCCTGCTCTTGTGCCCAGGCTGCGGTGGAAGCACACCTCCTCCCTGAAGGTAGCCAACGAGCCCATCTTAGCTTTCACACAGGGCAGCCCTGAGCGAGACGCACTACAGAAGGTAACGGGAGGGTGGGGGCACCTGGAGGTTCGGGTCACTGAGCAGCAATAGCCCTGGCAGTGCCCGTGACAGCACCGGCAGTGCCTGTGGCAGCACCTGCTTCTGCTCCCAGCCTTGGGGGGAGCCTGAATTCTGGGGCTGGAAGGTGGGAGAGGGTGGGAGCAGCAGGGTGGCGGCCTGCAGTCACGTAGGGGCTTCTCTGGCCAGCTCAGAGCTCATCATCCCAGATGATTTATACTTAAAAGGTTTTCCCAATTAATTGCCAGTACTTTCAAATTTGTGTGATTTCACATTTCGGGTGCAGTGTTTTATCTGTACTAAATGGACCTGGCGACACTGGCCTCACTGTCCTGCAGGGTGATGGTGGCTGGAGCTAAGTTTTGCTGCCCCTGGGGGAGGCCCGATCTCTGTGATCACAGGTGTGGCTTGGCTCTCCTATTTGTGTGCCTGCCTGCCCATCTCTGTCTGCTGACTCTCAGGGAAGAGAGGAAGGAAGTGCCCACCCATGTCCTTGTCCCTCTCCCCAGGCCTTGAAGGACTTGAAGGGCAGGACGGAAGCCATCCCATGTGTGGTGGGGGATGAGGAGGTGTGGACGTCAGATGTGCGGTACCAGGTGTCGGTATGTCCGGTGGGCGGGCAGGGTTCAGCCTCTCCCCTGAATCTGTGGTCTCCCTCCCTGGCAGCCCATGAGCATGAACCTGTGGGCTCTGACTCCAAGGGCCTGATGGTGCTCACCCTATTTTGAATCCCATGGCCAGTAAAACTTCCAAAAGGGCTATGCTCACCCTGTACCAGTCCATAACTGAGTCCTGTCCACAGGCAAGAAAGACTGTGAAGGCCAGGTACAGTGGCTCTCGCCTATAATCCCCAAACTTGGGAGGCTGGGATGAGAGGATTGTTTGACGCAAGGAGTTCAAGAACAGCCTGGGCCACAGAGCAAGACCCTATCTCTATAAAAAATAAGAAAAAAAAATTTAGCCAGGCATGGTGATGTGCACCTGTAGTTCTAGCTACTCTGAAGGTTGAGGCAGGAGGATGGCTTGAGCCCAGGAGTTCAAGGCTGCAGTAAGCTGTGATCCTAACCCTGCACTCCAGCCTCAGAGCAAGACTCTGTCTCCAAAACAGAACAAAACAAAACACCGCCAGGAATCCACACTGCATCTTCTGTTATTCCTGGTGGAGTTCTCCACTGGGCTTTTTATTTTTTTTGAGGGGGAGGGGCGCTGTTTTGAATTTAGAGACAGAGTCTCACTCTGTTGCACAGGCTAGAGTGGCCTGGTATCAGCCTAGTTCGCCTTAACCTCAAACTCCTGGGTTTAAGTGATCCTCCTGCCTCAGCCTTCCAGAGTGCTAGGAGTACAGCCATGAGCCACTGTGCCCAGCTCATAAGGGGGTTTTGAAACTACTGGCAGAAAGCTGGTCCCTCAGCCTCATGTTCCTCAGATGGTATTGTGGTAACAACCCGCCCCCCCCCACCCGCCCCGACCAGGGAAATTTCTGAATTTTCATTTAGAAACTGCAAACACTTTAGGTGGGCCAGGAAACTCATGAGTCTGTAATTTAGGGGACAACAAAGTGTTTTCCAAACAGGATCAGTGTGTTCTGGCTCTGTCTAGGTGGAACTCTGGGCATGTGTGTTCAAGGGGAGGCGTTAAAGGGGGGGGGGGGCGTACCCAGACCCCCCACTCTGAGAGGTTCAAAGATAGCCTAGAGTGGGAGCTGTCCACAGAGGCACTTAGAGCCTCTGCTGCGGGGGTTGCTGAGCTGCAGAGTCCTGCTGGGCTGGGTGTGCACGCATTTTTGTGCTCAATCCTGTTTGTTCTTCTCCATGCTGAAAGAGGGAGTATGTGATCCCCCTTTCTCACATTAGGAGACTTACAGTGGGAAGTGAGCTCACATAGGCCCCACAGCTTGCAGGTGGTAAGCAGGGAATCAAATCCATGTCTATTTGACCACGAAAGTCCACGCTTTCCATGAGAGACCCCCATGGTTTACGGCTTTCTCCTGGATTGTGAACCTTCCGGAGCAGGGAGCACATCTCCCTTGTCACACAGCGGGTGCTGCAAACTCCCAGGAGGAGAAGTCAGTGTGGGCCGGGCAGCTGCAGATGGCTTCATGGGCACAAGGGGAGGGAGCAGCCGTGCTCCAGGGCCTTCCTGAAAACAAGCTCTTGGCCCAGCCTGTCCCCACCTGTCCTGGCACCTCCCTCTTGAGCAGTGACCTCACTCTCCTCTTCTTCTAGCCCTTTAACCATGGACATAAGGTGGCCAAGTTCTGTTACGCAGACAAGGTGAGTGAGTCCCTGGTAACTGTGGGGTTGGGGTCACAGCCCTGCTGTTGCTGCTTCCTTGTTTGGCCATGGGGGTAGGGGTGGGGAGCTAGGGGGTAGCTGGCACTGAGGAAATCCGTGGACTATGGTTTTGTCAGGGCTGGGCATACAGAGGTTAACTTGTGCCAAATGAGAGCTGCCTGGGCCACGGCTGAGACATACCTGGACAAGCGGGACAGGAGCAGACCTTAGACTGGGGAGGGAGTAGATTCTGGGAGGCTGAGTCAGGGTAATGGGAGACCTCGTAGATGGAGGAAGGCTGGGCAGAGAGCTGGCATCAGGGAAGGCCTGCAGGAGCAGGTGGGGTGACTGGCTGGTGGCCAGTGGTCCAAAAGCTGGTGTTGTATGGTGATGAGGGTAGATTGTGTCTGGATGCAGCGTCTCAGGCTGTGGCTCTGACTTTAAGAGCTGGGGGGTCTGGATGGAGGGCGGAGTGGCCTCAGGTCTTAAGAAGAAAGTGCAGCTTCAATTGGACCATGAGAGAAAGCTGAGTTAGTTTAATAGCTCAGGGACTCGGGGCCAAGGCCTCTGGCATGTGACCAGCCTGTGGGTCCATTCAGACTTCAGACTCCTAGCCAGTGATGAGGCAAAGTGTCCACAGATGTGGGGATGGGGTCCTCCTGGGTGGACGGTGGTCCAGATCCTCCCCTCGCTTCCTCCCCTGGGGCCATGAGGAAGGCTCCTTCCTGCTGTAGGAGGTGCCTCCCCCACCTTTTTCCTCTGTCCTTAGGGCCTGCTCAACAAAGCCATTGAGGCTGCCTTGGCCGCCAGGAAAGAGTGGGACCTGAAGCCTGTTGCAGACCGAGCCCAGATCTTCCTGAAGGCAGCGGATATGCTAAGTGGGCCACGCAGGGCCGAGGTCCTTGCCAAGACCATGGTGGGACAGGTGAGGTGCTGGCGAGCCCAGGTGTCAGGGGGAGGCCATTGTGTCCACCGTGTTAGGAGACATCAGCTGAACAGCTGGGTGCCAGGCGCTGTGAGAGACCCAGAGATACCCTCGAGGGGCAAGACATAGGAGCTGGGACGGACAAACCTAACTGAGGTGCGTTGTGCTGAGCCAGCACATGTGCTACCATGGAGATGTCCCCTCCGTCCATCTCAGTCCTTGCTTCTAGGCCAGTGTCACACTTTGCCTGGCTGCAGTGTCCTACCCTTTGGGCTGGCGAAAGCCCCCATCAACCCTCAGAGTGGTCTTTTCAACACTTGCAGCAGGTCACTCCTGGCTTACGAACAGCCAAGACTTGAGAGGACGTGCTAAGTCCTGAGCCTGGTGCCCAGGACCCCTCTGCCCAGCTCACCAGCTGCTCTGCCCTCCCTGCCCATGATGTAGCCCATGTGGATGTAGTAAGTCTCCCAGACACTGTGGGCATCCTCTCTGCCTCTGCCCACAGCCTGGAGTTCTTGCTGTCTTCTCTGTCTAGTGAACTCTTACGTCACCTCCTCCAAGAGGCTTCTTGGGCCTTCTCCATCCAAAAGGACTAGACCCGCCCCATTCTCCTATAGCGTGTTGTTCCTTCGTCGTTACATTGTGTCCCGTTGGAGCATATTAGGTTCCTGTGTTCATGGCCCCCTGACAAGCTTTCCGGACATGATAGTCATGTCTTGCTGTTTCTCTGGGCTTCACACAGTGTTTTTCTTTGAGGACTTGTGATGAGCCCCTGGTGGATGGCTCCTGAGTGAGTGAGGCCCTAGTAGGGCAGAGTGTACAAGGATGGGAGCCGAGGGAGACAGGGTCATGAACGGCCATCTCCAGGAGCTGCACCTTTGCGTGCCAGCTGACCTGGCCCCCTCAAGGGTAAACCACAGAAGCCAAGGCTGCCTTTTGTTCAGCCTGTTGTTCCTGTGGGCTTACCTATTCCCAGAGTGAGAGCCCCGTCTGATGTCTAGAGGCTGTGACAACTCTCACCCTGTTAATGCTACTTGGTTCTCTCAGTAGACCTCTGATACACACACACACACTCTCTCTCTCTCTCTCTCTGTCTCTCAGATCTGATTAAGTTCCTTCTTTATTCGGCTTAAGATTCAGGAGCTTCTAGGAAGCATAGTTCACACCTTAGCTCAGCTTCCTCTGCCCTGTTCTCTAGTAGGGTGTGCACCTGCTGGTAACCTTGTGTGCTACAGAGGGGCCACTCTGAGCTGGAAAAGCCCTGTTCTTGCAGCACAGACTCCTTTTCCCTCGGCTCCCATTCAGTCAGGGAGAATGGACAGTTGGAGGGAATTGCAGTCCTCAGCCTCCTGGTCCTTGGCCTAAACTTGCCAGTGAGCTCCATTCTGAGTCCCAGCAGACGGGCCGTCTGCATCCTGCATGGCGTCTCTGCCCTGGCTTTCAGCCCCACTCATGCAGATGCACCCTTTTGTCTGGAAGGCTGTGATCTTGGATTTGGTCTGAGGCTCATGATCACAGATCCACTTCCCCATGCCGCCGTTCCCAAGTTGCTATGAAACTAGGACAGAGCACCTTCCAGGCCCAGCCTGTGGCAGGGGGTCAGTAACTGCCACAGATCCCAGTCCAGCCCAGAGGGCAAGAGGCTGGCTGCAGGAGGTGGTGGCTCAGGGTCTTGAGACGTGGTCCTTTGCCTCTGCAGCCCCTGGACAGGGCCAGGTAGCCCTTTGAAGGTTTCTCCAGCCCTGCTGGGGCACAGCTTGATACTTACCATAGATACAGGGTTGGGTGGGGGAAGAGTGCTGATGAGAGGCTGTCACCTGCCTTACAGGGCAAGACGGTGATCCAAGCAGAGATCGATGCAGCTGCTGAGCTCATCGACTTCTTCCGATTCAACGCCAAGTTTGCTGTGGAGCTGGAGGGGGAGCAGCCCATCAGCGTGCCGCCCAGCACCAATAGCGTGGTGTACCGGGGGCTGGAGGTACCTGCAGGTGGCGGGCGGGCAGCTGGGGATGCTGGACAGCTTGGGCTTAGTCTCACCGGCTTCTCCTTCCCAGGGCTTCGTGGCAGCCATCTCCCCCTTTAACTTCACTGCAATTGGCGGCAACCTGGCGGGGGCGCCAGCCCTGATGGTGAGCTGTGGGAGCAGGTGGGACAGCTAGTTGTCCTCTCCGTCCCAACAGACAGAGGCCACCCTGAGCTCAGGCCTGCTTGTAGGGAGAAGTGCAGAAGGTGGAGGCAGCTTGGGGCCCGGCAAGGCTTTGGGGTCAGAGACCCAGGTTGAATTCCGTATTTGTCCCTCTCTGTCTGGGATACCCTGGTAAAGCCCTGGGCTTCTGAGGTACAATTTACTCATTTGCAAAGTGAGAATGATAGGGACGCCTCCGTGAGACATTTGTGAGGATCAAATGGGACACATCTAACACCAGGCAGGTCTGGCCCAGAGCCGGTTTACTGTTGGTGACTGTTTATGGTGACAATTATCGCTCACTTTGAGCACTTACTGCGTGTCTACGACTGCCAAGCCCAGTGCTGGGTGATCCCATTTCCTTCCCTCATCAGCTCAGAGAGGGGAGTCTGTGACCATGCCTCTGTGTCACATGGCTAAACGGAGACACACAGAGGTGACTGACTTGTCAAAGCCAAGTGATGAGTAAAGGACATCCTGGGCTCCTCTGCCTTTATCAGAGGGAAGGTGGCTCTCACTGTATGAGCCCTTGGCTGACAGGGGATGTACAGCCTCAGACAGCCTGGGCAGGAGATGGGTGACATAGCCATGTGGAGCCCTTGGCCCCAGGTAGGGTGGCCAGATG